GAACTGCCATTGGCCCCAGTCAGAAGGTGGGCAAGGGCAGGGTCCCGTGCAGCATCTCCCCTTCCTGCCTCACGGATCTCACTGCCCAGGCTCAAGGGGTGCATAAGTAGTCCTAACTGAGCATCATGGCTGCTCTGAGACAGCGACCCAGACCGGACCCTAGACCCTGGTGTGAACGACTCCTCACAGCATCCCTGTTTGTGATATAGAGACTCGTTAATAACAATCACTAGTATTTATTGGGCGTTTTTACCCTGGGCCAAGCACTCTCCCTAGGAACAATGTGATGGAGGAACTGTCCTTATCCCTGTTAGACAGCTGGAGGCGTGAAGGCACGGAGAGGTGAGGAGCCTGCCTTGGGATCCCACAGCTCAGAAGTGGCAGAGCCAGGATCAAATCCAGACAGAGCGCAAGCTTCAAAGAGCTGTGCCAGGGCCAGGCCGCCTCATCACACAACTCCAGGGGGCGCCGCTTCCATAAACATGGTCCCTCTGGGTTTCCCCATCTTATCTAGTAGGACCATGAAGTTCCGAATGGTGGAGTCATTTGCTCAAGGTCACAGCAAGTTAAGTAGGAGAGGTGGAGTTTGAACCCAGTTCTGTCTGACTTTTGTCACGTGGACACGTTTATGCCAAGTTAATAATTCCCAGGAACTTGACTTGACGTTCCAGGTTCTGAGTGCTTGGAAGAGGCTGAAGGCTCAGAGAGAAGAGTCAGAGCTCAAGGGGAGTTCCCAGCATTAAATTGCATTTAGTGGAAGAGATTAGTCAGAGAAATGTATCAACTGCCACGGGAGAGGATCTAATTTGTGTGTGTGTGTGTGTGTGTGTGTGTGTGTGTGTGTGTGTGTGTGTGTATGTGTGTGTCTATTCTCACACTGCTGATAAAGATATACCCAAAACCGGGTAATACATGACTGGGGAGGCCTGACAATCACGGTGGAAGACAAAGGAGGAGCAAAGTCACGTCTTACATGGTGGCAGGCAAGAGAGCGTGTGCAGGGGAACGGGCCTTCATAAAATCATCAGATCTCATGAGACTTACTATCATGAAAACAGCATTGGAAAAACCCACCCCCATGATTCAATGACCTCCCACCAGGTTTCTCCCACAGCATGTGGGGATTGTGGGAGCTACGATTCAAGATGAGATTTGGGTGAGGACACAGTCAAACCATATTAGTGCCTATGCATGTGTATATGTGTGTTTGCATGTATATGCATGTATGTGTGCATGTATGTGTGTGTGTACGGGTACATGGGTGTACAAGCAGGTGCATGAATTTTAGATGAGACTTCACATGTGTCATCTGCGGTCCCCTCCATTGTAGCTCTGCCTTGGAAGGTTAAAATCCTGAATGGGCAGAGTGGACAGTTGGAGAGGTCCCTGTGCTTCAGAACTCACAGGTACAGCCACCCCATTCTGAAGGACCAGCCGTAGGGGACCTCCCAATTGTCAGGTAGCAAGGCTGTCAAGCTGCCTCCTGAGATGGAAGATGCCACTCCCAGGCCCAGGCAGAGGTGAGGCCCCACCTGGGAGAAGAAAGCCGATGAGTTGGGGGGAGCCACGCCACCCAGGCCTCCTCCTCACTCCCTCCCATGCTCCCTCCAAGGGCCGCCCGTGTCAGGGGCTGGCTTGCACGATCCTGCGCTTCCTCTGCATGTGGCTGGGAGTGTTTGCAGGAGGGAGGAGCTGAGGGTTCCTTCCCGCATGATGGCAGACCAGCCTGGGTGCTCATTTCTCCCGAGTCCCCAATTCTGGGCCGGAGGACGCAAGGGAGTGGGGCGTTCCCCAAGGCTGAGAGTGCAGTGGCGTGGAGGGCCTGGAGGCCGTGTGCAAGCACACCCGGAGGGCAGGCGGGTGCGGCCACCCGCTCACCTGGGCTGGCTGTGGTGCTTCAGGAAGCGTGAGTCTGTGATGCTGGGCCTGCTGCAGGGGCACAGAGGCTCGAGAGACACCCAGCCTCGCTCCTTCCCTAAACCGAAGAGTTACCCCATTGTCCTTATAGCGGGACAACAGAGCCGCTTCCCCCTGGGCCATCGGCCAGGACACAACAAAGGCTTTGTGAAGCAGGGGCCTGCCTCCATGTATTCTGCAGGTTCTTTGTTTTTTGTTTTTTGAGACGGAGTCTCACTCTGTCACCCAGGCTGGAGGGCAGTAGCACGACCTCCGCTCACCACAACCTCCGCCTCCCAGGTTCAAGCGATTCTCCTGCCTCAGCATCCCAAGTAGCTGGGACTATAGGCACGTGCCATCACGCCCAGCTAATTTATTTATTTATTTATTTATTTATTTATTTATTTATTTATTCTATTTTTAGTAGTGACGGGGTTTCACGGTATTAGCTGGGATGGTCTCGATCTCCTGACCTCGTGATCCGCTCACCTCGGCCTCCCAAAGTGCTGAGATTACAGGCATGAGCCACCACACCCGGCCTATTCGGCAGGTTCTTCTGGCATGCTTCCTAGATGTGCCAAGCCCCCAGGCCACGTGCTGGGGACCTTGGTGAGCAGACAGGACCAGCCCACGTCGTTTGTGCTGGTGGGTGTCTTGCCCCACAGGAACGTGGGCTTAGGGAAGCGCACGCTGGGCTCCCAGTCAGACACCAGGATTTGGAACCCAGGTTGGATGTGTGCCCACTGGAGAAGCCGCCGAACCTCTCTGAGTTCTCGTTTCTAATCTGTTGAGCACAGATAATCCCGAACTCCCTGCTTGCAACCCAGCACTGTTGCAGAGAGCACATGAGGGTGGCAGAGCACAGGGGGTTTTCTCAGCCAGAGAAGGGACAAGCCAGGTTTGGGGGGCAAGGCTGACACCCTCAGCTTAGCCTCTGCTGTATGGATTTCTATTCCCTGAGAGCTGGCAGTGGGAGGGAAGTGATTTCACAGACTTCTAGGATGCTCGAGCTGGAGGAAGCCCTGACGATCACTTGGTCCAGGCTTTTCACTATACAGATGGGGAAACTGAGGCTCAGAGGAGGGTGTGACTTGTCTAAAATAACACAGCTGGTCAGTGTGGTGAGGGTGCATCAGGCTTTAGGCCACGGACTGTCTGTTTCTTGGTGGGACCCTTTCTTAAGAACCCCTGCTCTACCGGGAAGAACTCCAGGCCTGGGGCAAGGAAAGTTTGTGGAGCTAGGAGAGATGAGATGGATTTTTTAAAATATTTTATCTGTGTTCACATGAGACGCAAAACCAGCACTTACAGGGGCTCTGCCATCTGCAGCTACCCCCGAACGTCAGTGTTCACCCCAAACCTCAGTGTAAGGGACCCCTGGGCCTCTCCCTGTCTCCTCTGCCCTGTCATGAGCCTGCAGAGCCAATCGGAAGTAGAAAATGACTGTGATGAAAAAGAATATGCAATAACACTTGGGGAGGCTGGAGCAGGTGGATGAGTTGAGGTCAGGAGTTCAAGACCAGCCTGGCCACACGGTGAAACCCCGTCTCTACCAAAAATACAAAAAATTAGCCAGGCGTGGTGGCAGACACCTGTAATCCCAGCTACTCAGGAGGCTGAGGCAGGAGAATCGTTTGAGCCCAGGAGGCAGAGTTTGCAGTGAGCCGAGATTGCACCGCTGCACTCCAGCCTGAGCAACAGAGTGAGACTCCATCTCAAAAACCAAAAAAAAAAAAAATGCATTAATACATTTCTAATACTTGCCCTTTTTCTCCCCGAAAGAATTTGAGATCACTTCTAGTAAAACCCCACATACTCTAGGGGGCGATGACACCGCTGAAAGAGGTCTCAGCTGCTGGGCAGAGGGAGAAAGAGCTGTGTGACCAGTCGAGGTGGCCTCCGGGCCCTAGCTCAGCCCACACTTGTCCCTGAACTCCCTCCTGTCCTACACGTTCTTGGCGTAGGCTCCCTAGAGCTGGGCTTAGGATCTGCCTGCCTTGTCCGCAGCCTGCATTCAGGAGGGAGCTGGTCCTGTAAGCTGATCGTGCACCTGCCCGTCACCTTGCTGGCTCTGCAGAACGTTGGAAGGGAGATTGAAGCAGCCTTCAACCTTGCAAAGAGTTAAACTAATGGGATTCAAAACGCCTTCTTCTTACAATCAGACTTGAATCCTGGCTAGTCCTTGGAGAACCCAAAAGAATGGGTGATCAGAATGTTCTTGGGGCCGGTCATGGTGGCTCATGCCTATAATCCCAGCATCTGGGGAGGCTGAGACGGGTGGATTGCCTGAGGTCAGGAGTTCGAGACCAGCCTGGCCAACATGATGAAAGCCCATCTCTACTAAAAATACAAGAATTAGCCAGGCGTGGTAGCACATGCTTTTAATCCCAGCTACACAGGAGGCAGGAGAATCGTTTGAACCCAGGAGGCGGAGGTTTTGGTGAGCCAAGATTGCGCCACTGCACTCCAGCCTGAGCAACAGAATGAAACTCCGTCTCATAAAAAAATTAAGTGTTCTTGGACCCCCTATATGTCTAGTCTCACTTTGCTCTTGGTAGGTAACCCCCAGATGAGCTCTCGGATGAGAGTTAACTTGACACAAATGTGTCCGTGTGACAAAAGTCAGACAGAACTGGGTTCAAACTCCACTTCTCCTACCTAACTTGCTGTGTGACCTTGAGCAAATGATTCCACCATTCTGAACTTCAGGGTCCTACTAGATAAGATGGGGAAACCAAGAGGAACCATGTTTATGGGAGCGGCGCCCCCTGGAGTTGTGTGACGAGGCCCTGGCACAATTCTGTGGAGCCTGGGCTCTGGATTTGATCCTGGCTCTACCGCTTCTGAGCTGTGGGATCCCAAGGCAGGCTCCTCACCTCTCCGTGCCTTCATGCCTCCAGCTGTCTAACGGGGATAAGGACAGTTCTTCCCTCACATGGCTGCAGGACAGGCACTGGACTTAACAATTGGTAGGTGACACAGAGCCAGCAATAACCGGCACAGAGGATTCGGGGCTTTCTCCCCATGGCGGTGGGTGGTGCCAAGCAGCAGGCCAAGAGGTCCCCTTGATCGTGACTTCTTCTTCCTGTCTCCCTGCTCTCCAGGCCAAGCAGTCCTTAGCCACGCTGACCAAGGACGTCCCCAAGCGGCATTCCCTCGCCATGCCTGGCGAGACGGTGCTCAATGGCAACCAGGAGTGGGTGGTGCAGGCGGACCTCCCGCTGACCGCAGCCATCCGGCAGAGCCAACAGACTCTCTACCACTCACATCCCCCTCACCCTGCGGACCGGCAAGGTGAGTCCTGCCCTCGCCTGGCCCCACCACAACTTCAAGGGGCTTCATGGGAGGCCGTGTGACCCAGTGGGAGAGGCACCTTCGTTGTTCACACTACAGCAGCTTAGGGGGTGTGGGGCAGAGACCTTGGGCTTGTGTAAGTGAAAAGTCTAAGAGATGGACAGCAGGCGTAGCTGGATCCAGAGGTTCAAACACTATCTGGGTCCCTCTGACCGTATCTCTCCATCTCTTAGCTCTGCCCACCACCTTTTAGCCTCATCTTTGGCCTGTCTCTTTCTGCAAGAAGGTAAAATCGTCCCCCACAGTTCCAGATGTTTAAAACCCTCACTACTCAAGTCTTAAGAAAGAAAAACTATCTCTTCCCCCTGAATCCATAGCAAATCCTAAAGAAAGACTCTGATTGGCCACATCAGAGTCACATGGGCATCCTTTGGCAGGGGAGGCAGCAGAGCTCTTTGACTGACAGCTCTGGCCAATCACAGGGCATGCAGGAGGGGCAGATGTCAATGTCACAGATGTTTGCTCCAGGCACTTGGCAGGGATGTCTGGCCTCTGGGCAGCACCTGTACCCACTGCCCGTGGTACAGGCTCCAAACTCCTCACTGTCCCATTGCACGTCTGCAAGCCACCTTGCTCTGTTCTCTGTTCCTTCTGCAAGTAGCTACCTTGTGTGATCGATGCAACGTGGGAACAGGCAGCTGGTTGCAGCCATTGCACCAGGGGTGGGAAGTGGTCACCGTGAAGGCTGCAGGCAGGGTTGGCCCTTGCTGCTGCAGAAGAGTCAGACACAGTCCTGAGCCGTAAGGGACTGGCAGGTTGATCGGGGAGAAGCCAGCAGGCCCTGCCTTTGCCTGGCGAGGGTGCAGCTGGGGGAGTGGAGGTGAGTCACTGGGACGAGGGGCACAGGCCCTGGGTTCAGACTGCTGGGTTCAGCCCTGGCCCTGGGGCTTCCCAGGGTCATGATCCATGACCTTGGCCAGGGTCCTCAGTTTCCCCATGTGTAAAAGGGGCATCAGGCTCTTAGCACACAGCGTACATGGAAGGTGTTTGCTGAGGCTTCCTTTACCTGCGTCATGGGGCTGTCGTGAAGATGGAATGTAGAAAACTGGGAATGGGCCTGGGATCATGGTCAGAGCGGGGTAAATATTAGCTGCTGTTCTCGTTATCCTCATCACCGTTGTCGTCATCCTTGAGAGGTGACACAGGGGACTTTGAGAAGCCAGACAGTAAGCAAATTCAGTCCTCCGCTCCCACTGAGTGGAGACAGCAGCCCTCCCTTCACTGTCTGACTCAAGGTGACGTGACTTTTTTGGGGTAAGGGTGGGCAGCTCTGGCCTTCAAAGCCTCGACTCAGAGCTGGAAGAGCTTATGATGAAACTGCTCAGGGCCGGCATCTTCGTCATGCCGGGAAACAGACCTAGAGAGAGCCACCACTTGTTCAGAGTCTCACTGCCCAGCCGTGCGGTCAGCTGTCCTGGCTTCCGGTCCAGCCCCAGGACAACAGGAGTGAAGACACGCAATTCGAAGGCAGACAGGGCTTGGGCAGTTTCTGAATCACGTGATGACGGCAGACTCCTAGTCCTCCTCGTCTGCATCTGCGGGGCCTCTCCTCAATGGAGCTGGCTCTGGTCTGGGAAAGCCTGGACAAGCTGATGGATCTTCCTTCTGGGCCCTTCCTTCTCCACAGTATCTGCCTCACATACAACCATCTCCATGCATTTTATCAAATGTCCCCTCCTCCAGGAAGCCCTCCGTGCTCTCTCCTCTGCTGTCTGCCCTCTAGGCTCCTGTAAAGTTGGGTGCTCACCTGCATCAACACTTCTTGCCTTGCCTTGGGTTTGCCATGGATGCATTTGTCACATGACTCCTCACATCTGTCCAGTGCCTGGCGCTGCGGTAGGCACATCATACATGCAGCTACTTTCCGGGATTGGTAACACTGCCATCCATCCCTAGGTTACACGTAACAGACTTGGCTCAGAGGGCCAGGGAGGATGCCCAAGGTCACACAGCCTAGAGGGTAAACTCACCCAGATTGGAATTGACTCCAAAGCCAGGGCTCCTTCAGCTACCCATCTTCTGTATCAGACCATATGGCCATTGGTGGCAAGGACTGCCTTTTGCAAGAATGCAACGCCACCTGCTGGTATGCTGCCTGCACATAGTAGGTGCCCAGCCAGTCTTGTCAAAAGATGCTTTCTCCATCCAGTGCCAATGCCTGCAGACAGGAGAGCAACCTGCTGGGGACTTGGGAGGCCTTTTGGGCTGTGGCTTCTGGTCTGGACCTTTCACCCAACCACTATTTATTGAGCACCTACTATATGCCAGGCACTATGAGCTCTGGGATTCAACGTGGGTAAGACACCCAGGGTACCTGTCCTCACAGAGCTGTTGTTGTCTTTGTGCAGATATGACACACAAATATGCTATTACATAACAAGCAGAATGATGAGAGATTGTGATTAGCACAAGGAGAGAAATCAATAGAAAACAAGCACTATTTTTCTGGAGAGATGGAGTGTTGCTGTGTTGCCCAGGCTGGTCTCAAAGTCCTGGGCTCAAGCAGTCCTCCTTCTTCGGCCTCCCAAAGCGCTGAGATTACAGGTGTGAGCCACCACGCCCAGGCGAAAATAGGCACTTTGAAGGGGGAAACAAAAAAAGAGTTCCTAGATGTGCCAAGCCCTTGACCACGAATTCAGAGTGGAAGTAGGGACTCAGCATAGCTGAGGCTGGAGAAGGTGGATGGAGCCTGGCATTATGCCTGCAATTCCAGATATAACCACCAGGAGTCTCCCTAGTAATGACTGTTTTGAGCCAAAGGATCTGTGGGCTCTAGGCAGGGCAGACTGATTCTGGGATGTAGTGAAGGACAGGGAGGGTTGATTACTGGGGAAGGCCTCTGATGGGCAACAGGAATGGCAGAAGCCAAAGCAGGGGGACATGGCCTGTGTCAGGCAGTCAGAAGGCTGATGTGGCTCAAGCCGAGGCTGCGGGGGTGGGCAGGGCTGCGACTCGTCAGGCGAACTCGGAGGCCAGGAGGAAGAGAGGCAAGATGCCAGTGGCTCGCGTTCTGGTGTGTAGAATGGAGTCAGGGCAGCCCACTGGGAGGCCATGTGGTCTTCCAGGCGAGGGTCAGTGGTGGCCGTGGGGTGGAGAGAAGCAGACAGATTTGGGGCCATGTTTTGGAGCTGCTGCTGCTGCTGATTAGATGTGGGATATGGGGGAAAGAGAGAAGTTGATGGTGGCCTTCAGGTTTCTCGTTTGGGAAACCGATTTGGGGCACTGGTTGGGATGGTACCAGGTCTAGGAACGTCCAGATGTAGGCGCGTGTGAGCAGTCACGGAGTACTCAAGTACTAATGCACAGTGGTGCTCCTTAGAAATGAATTTCTAAAAAATCAGTCAGGAAACAAGGAGACTTAAACTTGAAATGAGAAGAAGACTTGAAAACTTCCACATCTTCTCGTTCACCCTGGTGGAGGAGGGTTCATTGGATCCAGAGGCTGTGGGAGCTTCTTCGCAGTGGCTGCTCCGTGGGAACGTGCGGGGCTGTGGAATAGCGGGGTGGAGAACCAGGCAAATCTCTTCCCTTCTCTACACCTCAGTGTTCCCATCTGCGGAACGAGGGTGTTGGGGCAGCAAGGCGAGGGCCTTCTGTCCATCCCTCACTCACTAGCTGTCCCTGCTTTCCAGCGGTCAGGGTGAGCCCCTGCCACTCCCGGCAGCCCTCCGTCATCTCCGACGCATCTGCCGCCGAAGGCGACCGGTCGTCCACACCCAGCGACATCAACTCCCCTCGACACCGGACGCACTCCCTCTGCAACGTAAGGCCAGCAGCCGCGGGGCCTGGGCCCCTGAGCCCTGCCCGGAGACCGCGGGGGCAGGGAGGGCGGGGTGAGGCCATACTCGCTGTTGCTGTTTCCTCTCGTCCACCCAGGGAGCACTCTGGAATGCATTTCCTGTTCTGTTCTTTCCTTTTGCAAGAAGCGATGGATGTGGGGAGAGAAAGAAAAGAGGCCCGTTTATTCCTTGTGTCCGGGAGGGTGAGGAGAACCCCGAGGAAGCGGGTCTGGGTCGGCCGCAGGGTCTGTGCAGCCTGGAACTCTGCCCCGGCAGGCCCTGTCTGGGACCGTGGGCTTCTCCTCCAGACGTTACACCCTTCAGAGCTCAGGGCCTCCCCAGCACCACCGCATTTCCCTTTAGAGCCAGCTCTCCATCGTGACCCGGGAGTCTTGGCGTCAATTGCCTCTGGTGAGGCGTGTGAATTTGGTCTGAGTTTGTCTACTTTGCTTATTTCATCAAACACTTTGATCGCACACTGGGTGCCAGCTCCCAGGAGGCAGAGGCCCTAGCTGCCTAGCTCTGGATCACTTAGTGGGGCAGACAGATGGGCTCTGAAAGGGAGGGAGCGAACAAAGGTGGGTGGAGCTTCTGAGGACAATTGGAAGCCATGTCGAGGATTTAACATGAAATATTGGGGTCCGGGTGTGGGGACCACCTTGAATTTTTGTTCTATCACGCGGTTGGTAATGCAGAGACTCCCCTGCCATATCCTGAAGATAGAGACATCATAGGGTCAGATCCTCAAATGCACGAGATGGCTTTTCCCAAAACTCAGTTAATGTTGCTTTATTAACCAGCAAAACAGAAAATAAAAAAGAAATGAGGTGAACACATTGGACAAAACCATTACGTGCCAGTGACATGATTCTCTACCTGGAATACTCAGCAGAATAACTTGAAAAGCTGTGAGCACGAATAGAAGCATGTACATCACAGTGATGCTTGGAAATCAATGTGCAAAAATCAATCACTTTCCTATAGATGAGTCGTAGTGATGAAACCATTTTTTCAATCCACAATAACAATGAAAAGTGCTTATATAAATAGCTAAAACTAAACCTCAGAGAAGCTGCCTATCTGCTAAGATGAGCGTAGGGATTGCTGGCGCCGGGGGCCTTCTCGCAGTAGGAAGAAGGTCATTTACAGCCTGGGCCCTTGCTCGGGGCTGGAATTCTCTTTTTTATTGTTTTATTTTATTTATTTATTTTTTGTATGTGTGACAGAGTTTCCCTCTTGTCGCCCAAGCTGGAGTGCAATAGTGCAGTCTCGGCGCACTGCAACCTTTGCCTCCTGGGTTCAAGCGATTCTCTTGCCTCAGCCTCCTGAGAGGCTGGGATTACAGGCACCTGCCACTACACTCAGCTAATTTTTGTATTTGTGGTAGAGATGGGATTTCACCATGTTGGCCAGGCTGGTCTTGAACTCCAGGTCTGACCTAAGGACATCTGCCTGCCTCGGCCTCCCAAAGTGCAGGGATTATAGGCGTGAGCCACTGCACCCAGTGGGATTCTGTTTTATACTGGTGCTTTAAGGAAGCAGTGTGTTCTTCTCTCGTCCCCAGGAGAGAGTCTTAGTGACAAAGGCTATCTTGACTAACAGCACCAAAGCAAGGAAGGTGGGCCATTGGAAGGGTCTCTGACATCCATTCTGTGATTCTGAAGCACCTCCGTGGAGTTCCACCTAGAGCCAGCAATCCCCCCACACATCCCACTTGAGAATACCTTCCCCCCAAAAATTTATCTTCACATGGTGGGCCCAAGGGGACTCTGGCAGCAGAAATGCTGCTGGAAAACCCATTCTGTAGAAGTTCTCCAAACCTCTTGAATTGCACTTGACCCAGGCCTAGCCTTGTGCCCACCCTTGGCACATGCCTGCTGCCAGAGACAGCAGTTCCAGCACATTTATTTCTAAGCCCACCTTACGTAGGGCCCTGCTGCTGGGAAATGGGTGTTTTGATAACCAATTGTCTGCATTCAGGCGTTACAGTGAGCAGCCCCATTCTCTTCCCCCATAAATTTGCCAAAGATGTTCCTATCCAGAGTGGGACTATCTTAGCTGCCTGCAGAATGAGTTCTGTTTGCAAATCTTGAGACTAAAGACTAAACTGCCATTCATGAAATTCCCTCACTTCCTCAACCCATTTTATTCCCCCATCTCAACAGGTGTGTGCACAGGTAAGCCAGGAAGAGTCCGAAAATAGCTACAGGTAACCCCTTGTCCTTGGGCATCTGCCCTCCACCCGCAAGAACAGTGCAGCCTGGACTAAGGACTACCTGGTCCTCTCACACTCTGACCACTCATTCAGAGTAGAAGTAGGGACTCAGCATAGAGAGGTTGGAGAAGGTTGATGGAGCTTGGCATTATGCCTGCAATTCTAGAAATAACCACCAGGAGTCTCCCTAGTAATGACAGTCTTGAGCCAAAGGATCTGTGAGCTCTAGGCAGGGCAGACTGATTCTGGGATGTAGTGAAGGCTTTGGACACCACACCCACCTGTGGAAACACAATGGAAATGTCCTACCTGCCCATCCTAGGGACCTGTTTGAGGCTCCCTAGGAAAGAGAGAAGGAGCTCAGACCCCTCCTGGGGCAGCCCAAAGCTCAGGACCAAGCGTGCAGTTGCCCTGGAGCTCCTGCTTGGAGGGAGCACTGTGCCAGAAGGAATCTGAGTCCCCAGCTGGAGTGGTAGCTCTGCATCTAATTAGCCCTGTGTCAACGGCCTGTCTGCTGCCTCTCTTCATATCTGTGAATAGGGCTGAGTCCTCTGCCCCTGCGCAAACTAAGATTCATCGTGTCGGTTGTGGGGGAAGCTAGAGGTTACGTGGTCTCCCAAGTTTGTTTCTGTCCCCAAATTCTGTATTTTGTGCTCTTTCTATTAAAGTTTATTTCTTTATGAAAAGCACCAAGTCTAACCACACTCCGGCTCTAACTCAGTGGACTGACTGGGACAGGAACTTAGAAGCCTTGGAGTGGCTAATTTGTTGATCAGAAGATGTTGGGAATCGAGAGGCCAGACCAGGCAGGAGAGGACCCCAGGGCCCCTGGGTGAAATCTAGACCCCATCAGTAAGCCATCTGGGAGTATCTGCTTCAGGAGATGGGGGTGGGCGCCCCACTGCAGAGGCAGGGTGGCCCCTGGGGGATGGCGTCCTTCCACGGAAGGCCCCACACCACACGAGCCGCCTCTGCTCTCCTGTGTCATGTGTCTCTGCTGTTTCATCTTCCTCTTCTCCTCTGGCTACAGGGCGACAGTCCCGGCCCGGTTCCGAAGAATCTGCACAACCCTATTGTACAGGTAGGTGTGTCCTCCTGGCCACTTGGCCCTCCCCCAACCCCACCTTGACCGTGACTTCTCCCTCTGTTCCCCTGAGCCCACATCCATACTGCTCACCTAGGCGGACAGGATTTAAGCCACTTCTGGAGTCTCAGGTGGGCTCAGCACCTGGGCCCGCCTGGTCCTGTGCCCTGCAGGGCTGTGGAGCTGCTGAGCACACACATGGCCTCCGTCTTGGCGCCCTGCCAATGGCTTGCCCTGGCAGCCAGCTTTACAAAATTCCCATTATTATTGCAAAGCTCATGGCCCAGGCAGTGAGCTTTGGTGGAGATGGGGTTTCACCGTGTTAGGATGTTCTCCATCTCCTGACCTCGTGATCCACCCACCTTGGCCTCCCAAAGTGCTGGGATTACAGGCGTGAGCCACCGCGCCCGACCAACTTTATTTATTTTTAATATTTTCAATATTCTGTCATCAAAGTGAGGAGGGGGCTGCAGGGAGGACAAACAACATGAATTTGAGGGTCTGCAGGGGTCCCTGAAGCCACCTTTCTAGTCCTGGGGTCCCCGCCTGTGGGTCTGGACACCACCCATCTACATCAGAGACCACCAGGGAAGTGGGTTCAAATGCAGATTCCTGGGCCCTTTGCCCTAGAGATTCTGATCCACCAGGTACAAGGCAGGTCCTGGAATCCAGGGAATCCCTAAGCGTTTTGAGAATCATGCGTCTAGTCTAAGCCTCACCCCTGTGATGCATGATGCCACCATATAGTTTTGTATGAAGCACCTGGCAGTTTGTAAAACTCTCCTGCAGACACCACCATGATGCCTGGAGTGTCCCTCACAGGAGGGCAGAGTAGACCTTACCACCACCACCACCATCTAATATTGTTTTCCCACGTCACAGGCGAGAAAACGTCTCAGAGCAGCTGGGGCGCTTGCCAGGGTTCCACGGGCAGAGTCATGATCAGAACTGGAACCCACAGTAGCCATACTGTTGCCTGCCCAGAGCTTTAAAGCGCTGAGCCCTCGCCCTCGACTGACGCAGGCTCCGGGTTCCTCCGCATTTTCAGGAATCCCCCAGGCCCCCTTGCCCCTGTCATTGTGTGCTTAGGGCCCTGGTACGGCAGACAGGGCCAGTGGCCGCCCTTCCTCCCTGTAGCCTCCTCGCATCGTGGACTTGACCCTGGGCAGTGGCCGAGTGTGTGGACATCTTCCTCCAAGCCCTCAACAAGTACCTGAACGTTGTGGGCAAACTGAGTTTAAACAATAATAATGGTACAAACAACCGACACGTACTGAAGGCCTATGGCACACCAGGCACTGATCTTGTGTTCTTTTTTTGGGGGGGGATGGACCCTCACTCTTGTCACCCAGGCTGGAGAGCAATGGTTTGATATCAGCTCACCGTACCCTCCACCTCCCAGGTTCTAGTGATTCTCCTGCCTCAGCCTCCCAGGTAGCTGGGATTACAGGTGCCCATCACCATGCCCAGCTATAATTTTATATTTTTAGTAGAGATAGGGTTTCACCACGTTAGCCAGGCTGGTGTCGAACTCCCAACTCCAGGTGATCCATCAGCCTTGGCCTCCCAAAGTGCTGGGATTACAGGTGTGAGCCACTGAACCTGGCCTGTTCTCAGAGTCTTTATCCTCACATTAACAACATTCTTGTGGTAGCCTCGGAAGGGTCTTAGTGTTGTCCCTGAGAGGTTCTGTGACTGGCTCGTGTTTGCTCAGTGAATGAGGGGCTGACGGCATTCCAGCCCCGGAGGTTGCTTCTCAACCTCCCCAGCCCCTGTCCCTGACCCCACCGGCTTAAAGCTCGGTGAGGCCTTCCCCGCCCCGGACCCCATCCACTGTCGTCTGCACCCAGCTAAGCTTGGCTTTCTCCTTCTCCCCCGCCCTCTGCCACGTGGCTCCCAACTCTTCAGTCACTAGAGGATCTTGAAGACCAAAAACGGAAAAAGAAGAAAGAGAAGATGGGATTCGGCTCCATCTCCCGCGTCTTCGCCAGAGGGAAGCAGCGGAAGTCCCTCGACCCCGGCCTCTTTGATGGTACCACCCCTGATTATTACATAGAGGAGGACGCGGACTGGTGATGCGCGCTCCCCTGCGCCTGCTGCCCGCAGGCGTGTCTGTGCGTGTGGGCGTGCGTGCAAGCCTGGTGCGCGTGTGGCCGTGCGTGGGGTGCGTGTGCACGTGTGCTCTGGCACACATGGGTGCTGCGTGTGGCCGAGCGCCTCTCACAAGCGAAAACACGAGTGTGAACCCCCGTCCCCTGCGTCGCCACCTCTGTAATTGATGTACATACCGCAAACCGTGTGTGAACCTGTCAGCTCTGTCGTCTTCGGAGCGATACGGTTGTGTTGTTAATCTGGTTTATTATTTTTCTTCCATGTTTGGTTTTTCTTTTTTTTTTTTTTCCTTTTTGTTTGGTTTGTCGGTTTGTTTTTGTTTTTGTTTTGTTTTGTTTTTTTCCCCCTTTCTCCACCCCTCCTCCTTTTTATGAAACTTGAAAACTTGAAGGACTGCTGTGTATTTGTAAATAACAAAACTGTCGTGCACTCCATGCTTGTGAATGTCCCTCGTCCAAACCGCTACTCCTGGAGCCCGTCTGGCAGAGGATGTGGTCTGTGTTCAATGTCCCCCTTCCCGCCCCCTCCCCGGTGTGAACGTGTGGGACCAGACCCTGTCCTGGGGGCGCGCCCAAGTCACTTTAACCACAATACACCATCATCGTCGTCAGGGTAAGGTCCGCTCTCCACAAAGACTCGTGAGCCCGGCCGCGGGCCCTGGCTTGGCTGGGTTTGTCAGAGGTCAAACGGGCTCTTTTACACGGCCTGCCAGTTTTTAAATTGCGTTGCCGTTTCTTTCTTTATGGAAAAAAGAAAAGAAAATTGTTTCACTTAATTTATTTGCACAAATGCTGAAAACGTATTCTATCTAAATTATTACATAAATATTGGAATGTCTATTTTTCCATGGGGTGGGCGGGAGGTGGGTGTTTCTGTTGACGTGTCTGTTTTGTTATCATGCCGCTGCCCAACTGTGCAAAGTAGTTGAGGGTGGCCAGAACCCAGGGACCAACGGATTTCAGACCTTGTTTTTTCTGTTCTCTCTTCTCTCCCCCATTCTCCTGGTCATGCATGAAAGCGTCCTCCACCTTCTTCCTGTCCAGAGCTCCTCTGGGCCTTTCTAGAGCTGCGTATTTATCTGACCTATAGAACACGACCTCAGTGAGCAGAGTGCGGACAGTCGTGGTCCCTTCTTTGGGTCTGTCTTTTGTGAGAGGTTGAGTCTGGGGCAAGACAGCCTGCCGCACATTCAGGGGTACGACAGAGGGACCCTGGCCTGAGTCTGTTCCCCAGGGAGCCTCCAGCAGCATCCGTTCCTCCCTGCAGCTGTGTCTTTCTTGTCCTGGGTTTATGATCCAGGTGGGCCAGGCAGATGTCATTAGGGGAGGGACGTACCTCAAGAGGAGGGCCACAGTGGGGATGCAGAGGCCAGCACCTGAGCCCTCCACCCTCCCCGTTCTGATGGTTCCATCGGCCACGCTTAGAATCTCCCGGGATCCCTCAGGCTCTGTCCCCTAACTTGTCACAGAAGCCTGAGCCTACCCATCCCAGGAGAGGAGAGCTGGCAGGAACATCCGCCTGTTTGGGGAGTGGCGTTGGTCCCAAAGAGGCTTCACCTGCAAAGGAACTGCGTGCATTGTGATGCTGGGGACGGAGGAGATGTGAGCTGCTCAGCTGGGTCTGCCCAAGGCCTAAAACTCAATTTCCCTTTTCTTTTGCTTCTGCTCACCCTTAACAACTAACAGCTCAATCCCCGCCTCTAGACAACAGTAGTCATGCTTTCTGCTAACGGTAACATTTTCAGCTCTTAAAAAGAAGCAAGGGGGTTTTCAAATGCTAGAGTATCTCCATCAGAAGGGATAGGTTATTGTGTCCAAAGTCTCAAGAACAAGCAACTCTTTCCTCCTGACCTGGTCCAAAGGTCGGCAAAGAGCAGGCGGAGGCCCCATCAGAACCTTCCTGCCCTCCTTTGGCCAAACTGTTGAACCGAGCCTATGGGTGGCGGGGTGGGGTCGGGGGGCGCCCTGAGCTGGCATCTTTCTCTCCAGAGAGAGATTTTAGCAAATACTTTTCTCGCCCATGAATTTCTTTTTTGGTTGATTTTTATGGTTTTCCCTTTACTTACAAGAAAATGAGATTGCAACCACCCTTGGTAATGATTCAGTACTTCCTTTTCATTTCAGTTTTTGTAAATTAGGAGATAATTCTAAGAGTTACTAAAGGATGATTTATTTAAGAGAACTCCGTCAAATAGTGAATGAGTTATGGGTAACATTAGATGAAAATAGCCTTTCCCATGGGAAAGGTTTCTCGAAGGCATGGATGCAAATATAAAATAATAAAAAAAAAATCTAAATAAAGCTTATTTTAAAATATGATCGAATCCTATGTTATTTGATTGCTTCTATGTGGCTCCGGGTGGGAGGCTGTGCCCCTCTGGGAGGCACAGGCCAGCATGACCTGCTCCGTGGACTTCCAGGACTGAGTTCTGGGAGGGGGATGGGAGGGGCCGAGGAAAGCTGGCTGGATTCGGGGTCCTTGGAGGGCCGAGCCGGGGTAGCCTCCCAGAAGCGTCTCGCCTCTGCTGCTCTGACTGTAATTTGGAGGGCTGCCCTGTGGTCCAGATGCACCACCCCACGCCTGGCACCCTGCATTGTGGAGCTCAGCGGCCCCAGTCAGCTTTCGTCTGCTTCCTTCTACCCCTGAGCTCCTTCCAGAGGCCCCGAAGGGGAGCCTGTGCATTGGGGCCTGTTACTTCCCGCAGACCTCAGTGGGCCTGTGCACATCCCACGATCCCACCCTCCCTGGAGGACCGAGAGGAGCTTCAGGGAGACAGAGAGGAAGCCACAGGCTTCCTTGACGGAAGCCAGAGTGAGCCAGGCTTTTCCTGGCCCCAGGAGAAGCCCCCAGATACAAAACTCAGGCCTCCCCCAGCGAGACTCCACCATGTGCCCCAAGAGGCGGGTACCCAGGTTACTCCAAAGCTTGACATAGTCAGTGCCCTCAGCCTCTATCTCCCAACTGAAAAAAAATGTTCTCCCCAGCAATAAGACTGATAGAGGACTGGCTTTTAACTCCCTCCCACCTCTGCAGGAAGAAAGCATAAAGCTTTGTAATCTACCGTAGACCATGCTGAGGTTAAAATGAGGCCCAGTTAGTGAGGATGCGAGTGGATATGGTAGGACGGGGTAGGTCAGAAAAGTCCTGGATGACAAGGAACTTAGGGTCATCTACCCTAAGTTCTCAGCCTGACCACACCTCAGGGAAAAGAAAAATACTGATGCCAGGCCCTATTCCTGGAATTGGGGTGTATTTAAATCTCCTCTGGTGATTCTAAAGGGTTGCCAGGATTAGAATCCCTGGGCTGATCTGAGGAGGGCAAGGGTGGCCACGCTCATGCCCCATTCCCCTCTCCCTCGCCTCATATAGACATCACCAATCAATTGAAGAGCCCTTCCTGCCCATCCCAAGTGGCCTCTGATTTCTCACTGTTCACAGCCTCAGATAGCCATGGCCAATCAGAGTTGGCATACAAGGATAAAGCCTTTTTGCCCTCTCAAAACTAACCCCATCTCTCACGCTGGACACATGGCATAAGCTTTGCCCCAGAGAGGAATGACTCAGCCAGCGTCCTAACTTTTGTGCCTCTCATCCCGGGACCTTCTCAAGACCCAGGCCACACCTTATTCGGGTCTTTGTAGCTCAACTCAAAATCCACAATACCTCCTTTGTTAAAAGAATCTTCTCCAGGACCTCGCTCCCAATGGTCCAACTTCAAAATGGTACCTATTAGTCGGAGATTGGAGTAGGGCTGCCCAGGGCATCCAGGACCAGCATACCACCTGCACAGATTGTGCACTGCGTCACTCCAGAAGTTGACGTTCTCCAGGCTGCCACGTGAATGGTGTCCTGAGTTGTTCAGTGCACAACCTGGGTGACTGTACTCAGCGGCCTGTCTGTGGGCTCCTCGTAGCCACGCTGGCAGGCTCCAACAGCTGTAACCAATAACAATAACAATAGTGATACTATCTAACATTGATTAGGTGTTTACTACAGGCCAGGGTCCATGCTGCCTACCTGACACATATTAACTCAGTTAACGCTCCCGACAGCCTGTCATTGATCAGAAAACTCAGAGACTGAGTAACTCATCTGGGATCATGGAGCTGGGAGATAATAGAGCTGGGCCTCGAACCCATGGAATTCTGGCTGCAGCATTTGTGCCCTCAGCCACTCCACCACCTGAGCAGTGAGGAGCTGCCACCAAGCAGCTGGGCCTTCTCCCTGGGGGGAATCTTCAGCGCTTCATCTGGGCCTGGTTTCGAGACCCTGTGCCCACCAGGAGCCTCTGACACAGCCTTGCACTGCCTCCCTTTTGTGACTGAGCCTATTTCCATCAGCCTTTTTCCCACAGGCCCAGAAAGCTCACCCCTAGGGAGGAATCAGGCCAGGAATCGGAGCAGAGATTGGCTGCTGTCCAGCACCAGCTCTCCCTCCCTCTTCCTGGCCAAGCCAGGAGCAGAATCACTTCCACTGTCCCTGCAGTCAGACCCCTGGCTGTACCAGAGCTGCGGATCCTGAGGGCTAGCACAGCCCCCAACACCCGGGGAGCTCTGTGGCGCTCTGCCCGGCCACAGCCCGAGCCTGCATGCCAGGAGTCGCCCTGCACCTGTGACAGATGGTGCCATACATTTCACTCAACCTGGGCTCCTGGGGAATCCAGGCAGAGTGGGCCTGAACTGTGGGGGACACCAGCGGTTTAATGATATGATTTTTCAAATATTTCTGGGCCAAAAATTAGCCGAGTGTGGTGGTACACACCTGCAGTCCCAGCTACCCAGGAAGCTGAGGCAGGAGGCTGAGGCAGGAGGCTGAGGCAGGAGGCTGAGGCAGGAGGCTGAGGCAGGAGGCTGAGGCGGGAGGCTGAGGCTGGAGGCTGAGGCAGGAGCAACCCTTGAGTTTGTCTAGGCTGCAGTGAGC